TGTTGCTTTGAACATATTAGGCTATGAAAAAACTTGCTAAACTCCAAAAGAAAACTGATGCTATAGTCGATTCTTCCGACATGACTGAGAAAGAAAAAGTTAATACAATTTCAAAAATGCTGAGTAAGACGCAAAATAAGACCAAAAAAGAAGTGAAACTGGTTGTTGCTAAAGGCCCTATTAAAGGTAAAAAAGGCCGTCCAAAGGGTGTTAAAGGAAGATACAAGGTAATTCAGTCTTTTGTATGATCTTCGATAATTCAAGTTGTGCTTATAATTATTTAACTTAACATCAGATGGTGGATTCACGAATGAAAAAGGACACTCAGGCAATGAAAAGGGCCAATCAGAAAGCTGGTTCAAGAAAAAGGCGGAGATGATTATGTATATATTTATATATGTATATGTATAGTGTTAGTTATAACTAGGAAACGGAAACCGAGTTCGGAGCAAAATCACATGATATTTACAAATATGCAATGGCGACAGACAAGTTACGTTTTTGATATTATTAAAAAACGGAGTTTTGGTATCACTATAATAGAAATTAAGAGTTCTCTCTCTACGTTTAGGGCAATTATTTTTAAATATTTGCAGTTCTAATACATAATTTGAATTAAATTGCGTTTAAAAAAAGCTTATTTAAATTAATGGAATATTGTTGTAGCAGCGTTATACAAGATGATATAACATATGTATCAAAACAATATTTATGTTACAAAAATAAAGTCTTATAATGTAATTAGAATTAGATTATAGTAATTTTACCACCTCTAATTTTTATTAAAATAGAAAAAATATAGGGGTTAGAAAATTTTAGTTAGGGTTAGATTCTGAACATTTTTGCTTAGTATCCCAGATGTGAGTTAGCTAGTAGGTTTTTGAGATACAGTACCCCTGGTAAAATCACCACCGGTTAAAAATACGTAGCAATACTCTATAAATTATATATCAAGATCAATATATAATTTTCGACGACCCCGGAATTATTTGTTTGATGCAGTTAAAGTTGCTTTGTTGATGCCAAGTTTATACTAAACGCACCTGGCTTCGGATTTAGATAGATTTAGATCGGCGCCCGCCTTGTTTACACCAACTCTGATTGGCTGTCATAAATGATATTCACCTGATCTTGATATTAAAATGATCATCAAAACAAAATAACTCGATACTTTTCAACTTTTACGTGTTAGAATTTTTTCGTGGTTTTTTTTTTTTTTTTGAATACACAAAACTTTAAATAGAAAAGTGAGTATTTTATAGATAAATAATTGTAATAATACTAGTATTTGCACCTGTTAGATACATCTAACAGGGTTCGGAGTTGTATTTACTCTTGCAAATACTAAAAGAAAATTTGTTATGTAAATCGTGCTGAAAAGGTAACTGATAATGCGGCGGGAGGAGAAGGGATCAGTTACATATATTTTTTGGCCAAAAGGTTCTACCTAATTCTGAGTGAGGGAATTAAGTTACGTACCTTTGTTTATATAACAAAACTTCTTTGTATTTTTACATCTATTATTTTATGTTGTTTGTTTTTTATGCTTATTGTGAAATATATATCATTTCTCATTCGATTTACTTTTATATAGGCGGATATTAATTATTATAAATGCTTATCGGTATTTTATACTGTACTTTCTCGATATAAAGAAGATTTGAAGCTAAGGTGTTTGGTTCGATATATCAAGGTTTCGATATCTTACTATAATAAATCTATAATTTTAGCTAAAAAAAAATTCTTCGTTATAGTGGCTAATTCAATTTATCGAGGTTATACTGTACAAAAAAATAAAATTAATTGGTTAATATTTATTTAATAAAATAAAGTTAATAAGTAAATCTTTATGAATCGTTATATATACTTGTCTTTTAAATAAAATGAAAGAATCATTTATTTTATACAAATAATAGTACTTTATATATATGTCGTACGTCGGAATGGAATTATTGTGGATTTAGAATATACTTAGGTTGAAACGGAATTCCAAATATAGTCCAAGTTGATATGAAAGTTAAAAGCAACTTAAGTTGATTCTAAAT